TTTTTAGCATAGACTAATAATGCAATTGGACTGGGAACGTAGCTTGGTTGAGTGCTTGCCTAGCATGCACAAAGTGCTGGTTCCAACCCCAACACCATACAAAACTGGGCATGGTGATGCATGCCTGTAATCCCAGCACCCACGAGGTGAAGGCAGAAGAATCGTAAATTCAAGGTGATCCTCGGCTACAGATGAGTTTGAGGCCAGCCTGTGCTACATAAGATCCTGTTTCAAAAAGGGGAGGGGAAGGAGAAAATATTGCACTATATAGAAATATCACAGCTTATCAGCTAATCTTTAGGACGCCTTAATTACTTCCTCATTTGGCATCTTTTTCTCTTTCTTCCTTTTATTTTTAAGAAGTGTTGCCCATTTGATCTTGAACCCCTGGGCTCAAGTGATCCTTGTGCCTCAGTCACAGCAAGTATATGGCATATTCTGGCCTTAAAAATTCTGAATAGATGCTGTGAACACTTGAATGAAAGTTTTTATATGGACATCAGTTTCTGAGTAGCATTAAGCACAATTTCTGGATACTTACCTTTTTTTAAAAAAAAAAAAAAAAACTTAAGACAGGTTCTTGCTATGTAGCTCAGACTGGCCTGCAAATTGAGATCCTTCTGCCTCCCATGTGCTGTGATCACAGCCATGTGCCACCACATCTAGCCTAACTGCTAGAATTTATAGAAAAAGTGTATTTTGTTTTATAAATAACTACCAACCACTCTTTCAGAGTGGCTGTGCCATTTTTGCATTTCCAGCAGGAAAGCATGAGTTCCGCAGTCCTCTGCATACTAGCAGCCAGGGTTATGGACGTGTGGGATCCTACCGTTCTGATGGATGTATAGTGCTGCACCCTTGTTTTAATTTGCATTGCCCTGATGACAAATGATGCTATCTTATGATGTTCATTTGCTGTCTTTTATCTTTGTCTGTGGTATGTCTGCTCAGTGCTTTTGCTATTTTTAATTGGCATGCTTATTTTCCTGTTTTAAAAGTTCTTCAGATTCATTTTGAATTGCTTATTGGAGATAGAATGTATTTTCCTTCACAAGTTCCCTCTTTACTGTGTGATCTTTCTTCCTACACAGACAACTCAAACAGAGGTCTCTCTCCCACTGGCAGAGGCCAGATGCTGCAGATGCAGTTCAGAAAGGGAAATAGCATATTTTGAATACTTTCTTGGTCAAAAGCACTGTTTGTCAAAGATTTTCTCTCTCTCTCTCTCTCTCTCTCTCTCTCTCTCTCTCTCTTGATTTGCATAAAAAAGATAATCAAAGAGCCAGGTGCATGGCTTTAATCCCACACTTGGGAGGCTGAGGCATGTGGATCTCTGAGTTCAAGGTCAGCCTGGTCTACATAGCAAGTTCCAGGCTAGCCAGGGATGCTCAGTGAGACCCTGTCTCAAAAAGAGAAAAATAAATAAATAAGAAAGAAATGATAATCAAGGTGGCTCAGTAGGGTATCTCTTGAATCAAACGAGATGTGAAAATAATTTTATTTTTATGTGTAAGAGTGTGTTGCCTACGGGGATGTAAAGTGTATGGTGTGTATGTGCAATGTCCACAGAAGCTAGAAGAGGGCATCAGATCCCTTGGAACTAGAATTAACAGATGGTTGGTAGTCACCACATGGGTGCTGGGAACAGAACCTTGGTCCTCTGCAAGAACAACCGGTGCTCTTAACTGCTGAATTTTCTCTCCAGCCCATTTTGTTATTGTTACTTTTGAAGTGGTACGCAGGGGTCTGATTTGATTAAGGGATAAAGCAGAGTTCTCAGAGATAGAACTTTGGAGGGCAATTTTTTCTTGAGTAAAAGGTAGCCATTGAAGGCTATTGAGGAGCAATGGAAAAGGACCAGAATTGTCTCCTCCATATCCTATGCCACTACACAGTGAACATGCATAGGAACAGGCCAGTGTCAGCTTAAAAATTGGAGCTGGATTGCTGGGCTTGGTGACACAAATCTTTAATCCCAGCATGTGGGAGGCAGAGGCAGGGGATCTCTGTGAGATCGAGGCCAGCCTGTTTCCCATAGTGAATGAGTTGCCTTCCAGCTGAGGCTACAGGGAGACCTTGTCTAAATAAAAGAAAAAAAAAAAAAGGAACTCAATGTTTCCCTCTTAGAAATTCTCCAAGTTTCTTTCTTTATAAATGGAGATGAAAGCCTTCCTCCAAAGATTATGTAAAGATTAGATGAGATAGTATGAAATATACTTAGCATAGCATTAACGTTTATTTCTTAAAGTCATCTGTCTTCATTTATCTTGGCACTATTTTACCTCCCTTAATTCTCACACCTCCTTGGAACCTGGGGCTTAGTGGCATAAGATGTCGTGTGATTTATCCGGCTTTCGCTCCAGACTTTGGTTTATCATTCGTAACGAAGAAACTGAAAAATACCATTCTGACATAGTGACTATTTTTAATGTAAGGCACCTGAAAAACTGTGGGTGTAATAGGTATGACAAAAATCATTATTAGCCAGGTGTCTTGGAGCATGTCTGTAATCTCAGCATTCAGGTGGCTGAGGCAGAATTTTGAGTTCCAGGTCAGTCTGGCATACATACATAGTGAGACCCCATCCCCCCAAACACCCAAACAACAACAAATAACAACAACCAGAAAACCCACCTACTCTGAACAAGAGAGTTATGCCTCATTCCTGTATGATGACCATGATAACAAGTATGATGGCACTTCACTAATTTTTTTTTCTTAATTAGCCTCTCATGTAGCCCAGTCTGGCTTGGAACTCCTGCCTCAGCATCCCGAATTCTGGGATCACAGATATCTACCACCACACCTGCTTTAAACGTTCAATGCCAGCGAGGCAATTTGTTAAACCGTTTTTCATATGCCAGCCATTCAAAGAAGCAAGGCCTGGATTCAAATTCTGGTTTATTTGACTTCTGTAAGACTCTTCTCCGTGTCAGCTTCCCATAGTCCTTCCTACCAGACTCAGTCTCTGAGGGACTTAAAATCACCTCACCTTAATTCCCCTAGCACCTAAGACTGTGCTTGCGTTTACCCCTCCTTCTTTCTAAAATACTTTAATGTTGGTATGAACCAGGTACTGTACTAGGGACAACGAAATGAAACTTGGCCAAAATTCCCTTTGTATCAATACAGAGAAAACTTTTTTTTTTTTTTTTTGGTCTTTCTGAGACAGGGTCTCCCTGTAGCCCCAGCTGGCCTGGGACTCACTATGTGGACCAGGCTGGCCTTGACCTCACAGAGACCGCCTGCCTCGGCCTCCCAAGTGCTGAGGCTAAAGGCGAGAAAACATTTTTAATATCAGCTAAACACTTTCCCTTATATTCACATAAAAGTGACTGCAAAGACTGGACAGAATTTCATACACATTTGTGGTGGAAAATCGAACAACTGAAATATTAAGCTACTTGGGAGTGTGTAACTCAGGTCAGAAGGCCTTCATTTGCATTGCAGCTGTAGTCAAACCTTTTATTACGCTTATCAAATTACCAACGACACCCCCTAGAGAAAGGTGAATGATCAGGCACCGCATTCCTCCTCAAAGAGAATTAATTGCTCAGTTAGCTTACATTCTGGACCTTGGTCAGAGACTTGGTAGAGAGCCACTTCCGAGAGTGATCTTTGAGCTGAACTGTAGCGCTTTAATAAATGTTTAAAGTGTGAAGGGAGAGTGACGTCCGCTTAGAGGTTGCTAAGGAACTCAGAACGCTTCTCTTTGGCGTCAAGATTTTAAAGAAAAAGATGCAAGACAAAGAAATATTGGGGACCGCTCTAAACAGGGATTCCCACAACAGGGGTTCGGCACTCAGAAAGCTGAGAGAGGAGGACTGCCACGAGCTGAAGCCAGCCTGGGCTACGTTAGGAAGCCCAGAAACAGCCAAGGCTATAGAAAAACTCCCAGTCTCAAGAAGGGAACGGAAGTAGGGGTGTGGGAGCAGAGGACCGGCTGGGGGTGGGGCCACGGGCGAGGGCGGGGCCACGGCGACGTGGGCGGGGCTACGGCAGGCGGGCTACGGAATCCGAGGGGTTCGGGACCTCGACCGCGGAAGTGTGAGCATGTCGGCTGGGCTGGGCTTCTAGCTCTCGCGGCTCCTCCTCGCTCCCCGCCCACCCCGCGTCCCTAAGACGCTGCGGTCGCAGTTCCGGCCGAACTGCCGCCTTACTCCAGCCCCTGGCGAGGTCTCCGCTGCGTGTGCTCCGCGCCGTCAGTCCAGCTCGTGCGGGGATCCCGGCTGGCCGGATCCGGGCGCCGCACTCACGGCGGCTCCGCCTCAGGCGCCGAGCGGGCAGGAGCCCGCGTCCCCGGCGGACGGCGTCATGAGGAACCTGCCGTACTTCTGCCGCGGCCAGGTGGTGCGCGGCTTTGGCCGCGGCTCCAAGCAGCTGGGCATCCCCACGGGTGAGCGCGGGCCGCGTGGGGCTGTGGGACCTGCGGGTCAGCGGACCGCGTCAGCCGCACTGCGGCTTTGGGAGACGTTGCTGCCGCTGGCCCGCAGCTGTCGATCCCCGGGCCCTGGGTCTGGAAGCCCAGATGAGTCCCGGGGTCGCCTCCCGCTTCCCAGTCCAGCAGGGTAGAGTTGCCAAGCCGGCCTGCCCTTGAGAAAGTACCGCAGGTTGGATTAGCCGAGCTCTCAAGCGGACGATAGAGTTCTTTCCTTAAAATGCTTTGTAGTGCTCAAGTGGCACAGGTGGTCGATGAGAGCCAGCGTTTATTGGGTTTGTCTACATAGGTTTTAGTAATCAACCTTAAAAACACCTAGGGGGGCTGCCCTTAACCTATGACATTGATCTTTGAACTTGGGATTTGATTTTGTGAATTTTGAAAATAAGAGTCTTCTCATGTGACTCAGAGGTTACTTAGAAACGCTACTAGGAAAGAGCTGGGGGCTTTTTGCTGTTAAGAGGGTGTCACTTTCCCAGATTAGCCTAATACCTGGACTCAAGATCTCCTTCACTCTTAGAGGCGTGGGTAAACTCCCATGAATCTCCTACAGTTTACCTTGAGCCTTGTTTCCACTCAATGATTTTTTTAAAAATTCTTTTTTGGATTTATTTTTATTTTATGTGTATGAGTGTATTGCTTGCTTGTGTGTAAGCGCACCCGTGTTATGCAGTGCCTGCGGATGACAGAAGAGGGCATTGGATTCCCTGGAACTGGAGTTACAGCCGGTTGTTAGCCGAAGTTGAGTGATGGGATTCCAACGCAGGTCTTTAGCAAGAACAACCTGTGTTCTTAACCGCTGAGCCATCTCTCCAGCTCCTCATTCAGAGATTTTTGTGTGGCTTTTTTGAAATATTCGTACCCTTGCTTTGTGTGTCCTCCCTAACCTGTGCATATGAAGAAATCCAAGTAGCATATGGAAGAAATATGGAAGAATTGGATTGGTAGTTAAGGGCCTCAGAATCCTGAGTATAACGATTTAGACTAGTCTGCATGTGATTTTAACCAATATCTGATATGAAACTCGTAATGCTAAATATCTCCTGTTTAGCCAATTTTCCAAAACAAGTGGTAGACAGTCTTCCAGCTGATGTATCCACTGGCATTTATAATGGTTGGGCCAGTGTGGGAAGTGGAGATGTCCATAAGATGGTGGTGAGCATAGGATGGAACCCATACTACAAGAATGTGAAGAAATCCATGGTAAGAATCACATTTGTGCTGTATTAAATGCACACAAACACATCAGCAAGCTTGAAGAATTTCAAAGTGAAGTGTTGCCAGGTAGAGTGGTGCACTCTGGAATTGGGAGGCTGAGGTAGGAGGATCCTGAGTTTATAGTAGCCTGAGCTTTTATAGTGGTATCCTATCCTATCCACCCCCACCACCACTCCACCCCGCCAGAAAAAGGCATTTTTATTTGAATGGAATATCCTTTTCACATCCTTTTACTTTCAATCTGTTTCCTTTGAATCTAAAGCAAATCTGTAAAGCAAATATGGCAGATCAGGTTTTGGTAATCCTTTTTGCTAATCTTTCTCCTTTCTGATTGGAGAGCTTAATTCATTCTTTTCATTTCTAATTATGTGCTTATGATTGTGTCTGTGTGTGGATATGTGACTGTGAGTCTTATGTGTGTGTCTGTGTGTGGATATGTGACTGTGAGTGCAGGTGCCCGTGGAAGCCAGAAGAGAGTGTTGGATCCCCTGGAGCTGGAGTTAACAGGTGGTTGTGAGCTAGGAACCAAGCTTAGGTCTTCTGGAAGAGCAGCATGGTTTAACCAGTGAGCTGACTCTACAGCTTTCTATTTAAAGTAATTGTTCCAGCTACACTGTTGGACATGCCTGTAATCCTAACATTCAGACACTGAGGCAGGAGGATGGAAAATTTGAGGCCATTCTGGGCTATATTGTGTGACTGTGTCTCAAATAGTAATAATTGCTGACGAGAAATTTCTATTATATTGCTTTTTGTTTTCTGTTTGTCATATATATATATATATTTTTTGTTCCCCATAAAGCCTCTTCCCCTTCTCCACCTCATGGGCCCTTTTTAGTGTTCTGACCTCTACAGACACTTCAGTAAACACACAAATCCAAACATTTGAAGCTTGGATCTAAATATGAGCGAGAACATGTGGTGTTTGTCCTGCTGGGCCTGGTCTACCTCATAGGTATGTTTTCTAGTTCCATCCATTTTCCTGAAATTTTCATTTTTTATTTACAGTTCAATAAAATTCCATCATGTACATGTACCAGATTTTTGTTACCCATTCATCAACTGGTGGACATCTGGTCTGATTCCATCTCCTTGCTATTGTGAATAGAGCATCACTGAGCATGGATGAGCAAGTGTCTCTACAGTAGGATATAAAGTCCTTTGGGTAAATGGCCAGGAGTTATATATAGCCAGGTCATATGATAGTTCTATTTTCTGAGGAACCTCCACACTGATTTCCACAGTGGCTGAACCAACTTACCCTTCCATCAGCAGTGGCTAAACAGTCTCCTTTCCCCACATCCTCGTCAGCAATTTTCTGTCTCTTTGATTATAGCCATTTTGATTAGGGTGAGATGGAATCTCAAAGAAGTATTTGGTTTGGTGGGTTTTTTTGTTTTGTTTTTGAGACAAGATCTTTTTTTATAGCAGTAACTGGCCTAGAACTGAGACATCTGCCTCTGCCTCTGCCTCTGTCTTCTGCCCTCTGCCCCTGCCATGCTAGGGCTAAAGGTGTGCACCACTACATCCAGCCCTAGGTTAATCTTGTGTCTGCCCCAGTGAGTGGAACAAACGTTACAGTGACCTAAATTATCTTTATTATTATTATATGTTTTTTGGACTTGGCTGCTGTTTGACTCAATAGGTGATCCTCCTGGCTCCACTTCCTGAGTGCTGGGATTATAGGCATGTGCCATCATGCCCAACTAAGTTTTTAACTTTGAGGACTTAATAAGAGAGAAGTGTGTCACAGAAAACCGCAGAGCTCAGTGCTGATAAAAGCAATAGTAATGATCTTGAACTCCCTAAGAATTTGTGCAGTGGTTCACTTCTGAGTGAATTTCTGGGTGGTGAAAATTGTTGGAAGGGTAAGGAAAAGAATGGCTAAGATCAGTTTTTCTGTGGGAAGAGGAAGGAAAAGGGAGGAGAGGCTTTTTGATTATTTTTTCTTTAGGAGTTCAGATAACTGAAATAACATCAAGCCATTTAAGGAATGCCTGTGAATTCCTTTGATAGGAGAAACTCAAATTTTCCACTGATAAAGATACTCATACATTTCAGGATGGGGTATTTACTTATATTTTTATTATTTGCCAGTAATAGGCATTTATTAAAAATGGTGTTGTCTTATTGTCTTGTTGTTTGAGACAGAGTTTCCCTGTAACTCAGGCTCACCTGGAACTTGCTATGTAGACCAGGCTGGCTTCGATCTCAGAGAGATCTGCCTACTTCTGCCTCTGGGATTAAAGGCATGTGCCGTCATACCTGGCTCTATAGTTACTGTTTTTAATAATCTAATTGGGGCTCAAACTCAGGTCACCAGGATTGGTGGCAGATTCTTTTACCCACTAAGTCCTCTCTCCAGTCCCCTGACCTGTTTTTTTTTATTTGTTCATTTTTTGAGATGGCCTAGTTGCCCAGGCTCACCTTGAACTTGCTCTGTAACTCAGGCAGGCCTTATACTTGAGTTTCTCTTACCATTATCCTCCCAAATAGCTGGGATTACAGGCCTATACCGCCAAACATGATGCTTGTTTTTTTAAATTCTCCAGTTCTATTATAATTGCCTCTCCATCGTTGATGTAAAAGCACAACTCTTGGTCTGCCTGCGCCATCAGGGCCGGGGCTGGTGAGAGGTCTTGAGGGAGAGGGAATGCACGCACATTCATCTACGCCATGGCTCTAAAAGGACAAGAAGATTATATTTATCTTTTCAAGGATTCATCACATCCAGTGGATTTTCTGGATGCATTTAGAACATTTTACTTGGATGGATTATTTACTGATATTACCCTTCAGTGTCCTTCAGGCATAATCTTCCATTGTCACCGAGCTGTTTTGGCTGCTTGTAGCAATTATTTTAAGGCAATGTTCACAGCTGACATGAAAGAAAAATTTAAAAATAAAATAAAACTCTCTGGCATCCACCATGATATTTTGGAAGGCCTTGTAAATTATGCATA